GTGGTTGTGATGTGCAAGGCACGTACAGTTGTGGGCTACGACGAGTTGAAGTCGTGTGCAGTTGATCTTCTTGCAGATTGGTCCCAGGAGGAGGCGGAAAGTCTGATTTTCCATGTCGCGCTAAGCCTGGATGTTGGGGAGCAAAAGTATGGTGTGTTTCGACACGGAGGTCAGGTGGGATTGACAAAGGCAGCCTATGATCACCCGTGGATTGCGGAGCTGTTCGTTCGGGCCATGAAAGGGAAGTGTCCAGAGGCGGAGTTCTCTGCATTGTATGTTTCTGTCAATACCGCAAGGGAGGTGCATTCCGATGTGAACAATTTGGCAGGAGTTCCCAATTACTTGTATCCCATTGCTGTGCCTCACAAGGGTGGAGAATTGTGGATTGAGCTCATGGATGGCGATGTGGTCAAAGGGAAGATCAAGGAGATGGTTGATTCAAAGGGGAAGCCCCGATTTGGATGTTCACAACCACTTACAACTGGGAATGTGATAACCTTTGACCCACACAGAAGACATGCCGTGTTACCTTGGAAGGGACTTCGTATAGTGCTGGTTGGTTATACACCGGGAGTACCACAGAATCTTCGAGGACCAGAGCGTGAAATTCTGGGACGATTAGGCTTTCCAATACCAGCAGAGGTGGAAGCAGCTTCTCCTATTGTATCGATCCGAGCGTTGAGTGCAGGGATGCCAAAGACAGAACACATGGTTCAGGAGGAGGACCCGTTGGAGGAATCAAGAATTACAGATGGTATTTTGACCTCTGATGGAACTATGTTGTTCGAAAGACAAAGAATGGTGGGTGATGTGGATACACCTGGTGTCAGGGAAGTGGCCTATGTTGGTATAGAGGAATTGGAGCAGTGGGACATGTTCTTACCGTTAGATATTGGTGAGCCGTGTGAGGTACCCAAGGCTATGATTGCTTCGTGTGATGGTGCACCCAGGATGAACAAGACGGAGGTTGGGTTTACAAAGGACATTGAGGAGCTACTCATGGCCCTGAAGGCTCCCCTTACTGTGGTTCATAATATTGATCCAGCAGAGGCGGCGGCGTGCTTTAGCAAATGGGTGTCGCCGGTGCAAAAGGAGCTGAAGTCTTTTGAGACAGCCGCTATCAAGGTTCAAGGCAGTGACCTACAAGTCAAGGAGGATCTTAAGTCTGGAAGGGCAAAGATTGTTCCGATGAAGATTGTGTACACCATTAAGCCTCCATCTGAGGAGGCCGCAGCTACAGGTGAGTTTTTCCGTCGAAAGGCTAGAGTGGTCGCGTGTGGCAACATGATGGCGGATTCAGGTGAGGAAACTTATGCAGGGGCGGCACCGGCGGAGGTGGTGAGATCTTCTCTTTCAATATCCAACCTACAGGGCTGGGACGCGGCTACCTTGGATGTCACTGCGGCATTCCTACAGACGCCTTTGAAGGAGGTGCAGTGCAAGCAAAGGATCCTTGGGCAACCGCCCCGGGCTCTCGTCCGTGCTGGTCTGTGTCAGGAAGGCGAACTCTGGGAGTTTACACATACAGTCTACGGATTGCGAGAATCCCCAAAATGGTGGAGTGAATTTCGTGACCATCAATTAGCCCAGTTGAACATTGTGGTTGGTTCCCGAAGAATCAAGCTACTCCAATGTCGTGTTGAGAGTGGATGGTGGAGATTGGTTGAGAACAACACATTGGTGGGATTGGTTGTGGTCTACGTTGATGATTTTTTGATTTGCTCGATACCTTCCATTATTGTCGCTGTATCTGATGCGGTGCGGACGTTGTGGGAAACGAGTTCTTTGTCATGGTCATCCCAGGGCGGGGTCAGATTTTTGGGTATTGAAATATCCAAGGTGGGGCAAGGTTTTGCGCTGAGCCAGGAGCCATACATTCAGGAACTGTTGCGCATACATTCGATTTCTCCCACACAGAAGGATCTGATACCTGTCAGTAAGGACCAGTGCAGCTTTGAGGTGTTGCCGGAGGAGGCTGTTTTCTCTATCCAGGAGTTGCGCTTGGCGCAGCAACTGGCTGGGGAAGTATTGTGGCTGTCCCAACGTACGCGACCAGATATGGCGTATACGGCAAGCCTGGTGAGTTCACTTTGCGCTCGCGCCCCTCGAAGGGCTGTGGCAGTTGCAAAGAAGTGCCTGGGATATCTGCAACGGACTTCAGATTATCACCTTCGCGTTCACACAGGGTCCAAGGAGATCGTGGGATGGACCGACGTATCGTTCGCGCCAGACGGCGGGCGATCGCATACAGGTTGGTTGCTATTCCTCGGATCCACCCCTATAAGTTGGAGGTCGTCCCGTCAATCAACGGTTACCTTGAGTACAGCAGAGAGCGAGTTGGCAGCTTCTGTGGAAGGGGCTTTGGCTTTGGCGAGCTCAGAGGTACTACTTGAAGAGTTGGGATTGGGCGAGTGGAAGTCGTTCCTATGTACAGATAGTACCTCGTCGTTGGCCATACAAAGGGGATCAGGATCATGGAGAACACGCCACTTGAGGATCAAGGCACAGTGGATATCGGAGCGAATGGAAAATGGGAACCTCATAATATAGTATTGCCCTGGAGAAGTTCAGTTAGCAGACGCGCTAACAAAGGGTTTGACATCGGCAAGACTGCGAGATTTAGCAAGGCTTATTGGTCTGATGCCGGTTCCGGACTTCATGAACTTTGACACGCACCAAGAGCCTGATACAAGCATCATTAACACCGGTAGCAGCACAGCCAGCGCCCCTAATCCCCAAGGGTTTAAGATATTAGTGGCCCTCATGGTTCTGTCACAAGCTATGTGTGGATGTAAAGCTTCAGACCTGGTGGTGTATGAGCCGATGACCGTGGATCGTGGTCTTATTGCCTGGTGTGTGTTTACAGTTCAGGTGCTATTATGGACAATGGCATGGGAGATAATCAAATTTGTAAGATGGAGGATTTACCTCAATGTAATCCCGGGTGCAAGCTCAAGAAAGTTGAAGAGACTGCAACGACTGAGAGATACTACTGTAGAGGGTATAAGGACTGAGTTGGAATCTCGAAGACGATTGGAGGATGAGCGAGTTTTAGCTGAAGCGCAAGAATCTTAGCAACATAGAGATCAGACTGGAGCTTTGGGCAGGGCTCGCAGTACAACATCTTCCTTATCGAGCTATCTTTCTCAGCCACTGGAGCCTAGTGCGGTGGTATACAGATCAAATCAGCGTGATCGAACAATACAAATTACCGGGCCGTCTTTTGCTCCAACCGTGCCAGAAGTTCGTACGGAAATACGGAAAGAAACTCAGATACCAGAGAATGTTTATATTGTGCCTGGAAATCAATGCCACCACGTCTTCAACCTCTATCATACCTTCAGGCACCCCAGAACATAGGGTCGTATTCAGACATTGAGGACCTGTGAATACTATGCACATTACCGGGGTCAGAATCCAAGAATTCAAGCCCGAAATATTAATAATATACTACGTGCTAGAATAATGCCGGCATTCGATCGACCTGGTGGGGATACAAACTAATCAATAAAAGGCTAGCGTTCTTCTTGAAGAAGAATGAAGAAGTCCCCAAAACGAACCATAACTTTACCCAAGCATTTATCACCAGAAGAACTAAGAATTATTTTCAAAACTTTATATGGCGGCTATATATATGCTCAAAGCAAAGCTACAATATAAGTGCCTTAGGTCAAGAATATACCGTCCCGGTATTTTCTAGATTTACAAATACTTGTAGGTTAGAACATAATAATACTAACCCGACGAATACTAAACACGAGAGTCAAAACAACAACAAACTTATTTATAAAGCAAAAAGAATCGCCTTTAAAAAATTGTGCCATAGCCTATAGGGTATTCTTTTGAGACTACTTCATAAATACCGCTACTTTTCTTGACCTCTAATTACCATCTAATAATGAAGCCAAGCTCAGACCACCAAAATACCTCCACTCCCGATACCCTTCTAATAGGAAACCAAATACGTCAACCACAAACGTTCTAATAATTAAAACACAAGAATAAGAATTCGCACCAAACGAGGAACGAATAACCAAATACATAATAATATCACTTTAAGAATACATAGATAAATACATAGATATATAAATCAAATAAAAATAAATATAGAACCGACTCACTTAACGCGAAAACTAACACCATAAGCACAACGATAATTAAGCATGCAACTATTAATTAAAACAACACATACTAAATTTAATGTAAGTCATAATTTAAATATACATATCTAATTATCATGCCTAAATTCATATAATCAAATACATATCTTGATACCTCTTATACGTATACTTGTTTCTGATCACAACTCTAAGGAAACGCTAAATATCAGACATGCTTTGAATCTCTACACTCAACTACTAAATCTGAAAACCTGAAAAATACAACAAAATTACAAGAACACTTAAAACTCTAAGACACTACGGTTACAACAACAAAACAGGTTTTTGAACCAAAAAGAAGACCATGACTACAACAAAGTTTACAACAGTAATCGAATCTTTAAGAAACTTGAAAGCATAATGAATAGCAAACATCATACCAACAACACTCAAATAATCGCAACACAATTTAAACAAAATCTACCATGTACAATAATGACAACCATCAAAACCTGTAAGACAAGTCCAAATACAATAGATTAACAACATTTTCAGCGGAGACTATACCTACAGCAAAACTTACAATAGTGAACAGACGCACCCACCTCATCAAATCACTACATTAATTACATGTCGAGCGCTACCAAAATTCTTTATGAATTCAGGAAGTTCCGGTATCCAAAATGATGCCGCACTTCCAGTGTTTCCTTTGACCCTGCAGGGCTTCTTGTTGAATTTCGACCTTGGTAGTTTCATCTTTCATCTCGGATTCGAGCTCAATGACCTCTGTTTGCAAGCTTTCTGGACTTGTTGACGGTGCTTCCTGGGCGGTTCTGTTAAGTGAGGACTTCGTGGACCCCAACCAAACCTCTCGCGCGGGTCTTCGTCGCAAGCGTTGCTTCAGTCTGTCCCCTGCGCGATCTCACTCGTCGCCTCGATCAGCTGCAGACGCAAGACAGCAAAGAAGGGCGCCCAAAAGCCCTAAGCTTTTTTGGGTATTCGGTCCAGGTTTGGGGCTTGATCTCGAGGACTGCATGGCTCCAGCCTCTTGGGAGACCCTTCGCTGGCGCTTCTCCTGGAAAGCGTCTTGAATCTTCTCAAAAACTTAAACACATGCTATATATATATGTATATATAACATACTATAATGTACTATAATATACTGAAATACAAACTATGACATACTACAACATCCAAGGCTTCAAGCGACTGGCAGTCCTCGAGCCGGCGCTTGTAGGAAGACCGGGCAGCCTTGACCCAGTCCAGCACCTCCCACTGCAGCCATCTAAAAGCGGGTATCTACGGGGGCAGGAGGCAAACCTTTTGTTGAATCTCCACAGCAGGTTCGCAATCCTGCAGCGTGAGCAAGGAAGCAGAGTTCCACAGAATGTAAGTTTAACAGTGGGGCGATTCTGGGCTCCTCTTCTCTGAGGGGCTTCCCGGTGATTGGGCAGATGCTACCTCTTTTGCCAGGAGACGCGCTCTGTGCTGTTTTCGATCGCTTGCTCTAGAGAGCCCGGCCGCAGCTGCTAAGCCACTGCACCAGCCTCAAAAAAACACTTCAGGGGGCCAAGCCCTAAACCCTAAACCCCAAACCCCTAAATCCTAGAAGGTCTCCCAACAGTGCAGGGAAGGGCGGCGTCTCGTGCTCGAAGACGTGACCGTGAGGCGATGCCAGCGGAACCTCGAAGGACCGCAGGGGCAGGGAGTGGGAGATCTATCCTTCTCCTTCCCTTCGGGATTTTGCACAGAGAGAGCCCAAGGAGGAGACGTCTCTCAAAACTCTCTTACTTACGGTTGGGGTTCCATGATCGACATGATAAGGGAGATATATGAAGCAGAGCAGCTGCCATGAGCTTGCCGTCGATTGCACACCGCAGCTCCTGTCGCACACAAAGGGCAGCGTCGTCCGAAGCCCGACATGCTGGAGTAGCTGAGTAGCAGGCGTCTGGAGCATCCAGAGGGTCCTACAAGTGGCGATTGCACACACCCGGAGAGTTTGTCTGCAGTTCCTTTCATCGACTTCGAAAAGGTAACCCGATGGGCGGGCTTCAGGGTTTTGGAGCCAGACTGACTTGCAGCTACCGAGATCTGAAGCTCAACATAGCCTGCTGCTTCACCTGCTACTACTCCCGCTACCACTACGACGATGACTACGACGACGACCGCGACGAGTCCACGCACTCACCTGCAGCCACTATCCACAGTGGATCGCACCCGCTTAGCAGAGTGAATCTAGACAGGAAATGATTGAGTTTCATGACTTGGCATGCCTGGAAGCTTCAGGCCTGGAATGCTTTATGAGATGATAATCCAACGACCTGAAAGTCATGTAAGAAAGCCTCTGAGCAACCCGGCCACGCCGCGCAGCCGTGCGATGTCGCTGCGGCCCAGGTGCTGCAACAGCTGTCAAAGGACCGGCAGCGCGGATTACATGGAGGTATGGAAAGCCCACGAAATCATCAGAAGGCCTTCTTTGTGCTCCGGCGGGGTTTCGGTGACGGCAACGCCGGCCTTGTGAAAATCGTCAGGAACTCCACGAGCTCAGGATTTGCTCTCCCGAACATAGGTCCCAGACAGATCCAAAGCGCCCAAGAAGCTTGGCTTCTCTGTCTGCAGCATGTTCGACAAGCAAGGCAAGGATTAAGCTTAAAGAGATGCTTTGACGGCCTCGTGTGCAGCGTGGGAGTGCAACATGGAGGAGGCTTGCTCCTCCCACCGTTTCTGTTCTTCTCTCCCTGTGCCTGCTCCTCATGACTGTCCTCCAATCCGAACATGCCTCCCGCCAGCGGGCTGTCTTCAATCGCATCCTTGAGCGACACATCGGCAGTCTTTGTCAGAACTGCCATTGTCGAATGTAGAACGACGGAGGATGCGGTTCTGACGCAAAGCACGCGATATTCGGCTCACGGCATCGGCATCGCTTGGCTGAGGGCCTGGTGCTGCGTCACGGGAGCTACTTCCAGCCCCGAAAGACACCGTCTCACGAAACTTTAGAAGGACTGGGCACTGGACTGTTCGGCAACTGCTCGATGCATTGCTCCATGAGCCTCACCGTGATTCGTGACGAGTCCGACCCACTTGGATCTTCCTCGAAAGCTGTTGAAGGCCCCGGGCAAGTCGAAAAGCGGCTGCGCATGGCTCAGCTCTTCCTGGGCGCCCTCGAAGCCGGCATCCTTTCTTTCAGTTGCGAAGCAGCACAATGAAGCACAGTTCTGGACATCGTTCTACTCGAAGGTATCTAGACCATCATGGCCTGAGTTGTTGCCACATATTTTCGGAAACATGTGGTAGAGATGGCATTCCGGTGAATCTGAACACTATTGTCTACCTGTTCCTGTCTTCGAACACAAACCCCAGACGATCCCAGACCACGCATGCGCATAGAGAGATAAAGCGACAGATAGGTGGATATAAAATAGAAAGACAGGGAAACAACAGCCACGATATCAACAAATAGATCGATAAATCGAGATCTACACTGAATCTACACTGCGGCGGGAAAGCGCGACTGCAGATTGTGGTCGATAGCGCCGGGTATGCGCGAGTATGCGCAAGTATGCGCGGGTATGTGCGAGTATACGCAAGAATGCGCAAGTCTGCACGGGTATGCGCGAGTATGTGCGGGTATGCGTATTTATGCACGACGGATTTATGTGCGAGTATCGGCGAGTATCCATCTAGATGGTTAGATAGCTAGACGGACAGATAGATAGGTAGGTGGGTAGGTAGGTAGCATGTCTATATAGCATAGACAGAGACAGAGAGCGAGAGAGGAAAACATCTCAAACCAGAACAGAGTGTGTCACTGTGATCGTGTCACTGCCGATGTGAATCCCTTCAGGACTTGAGCGCCTGAAGCTGCCCGTGTACCTCCGACGTGGGCATGGCAAGCAAGCGACTGCGCCTCAACACACGGCACTAAATGTCGCAGTACCTAGTGGCAATAATTGGCCGATTCACGCATACCATAAAAACACGGAACAGGCGTAATGCAAAACTCATGTCTCTTCCTTGGGCCCTAGATCGCGAAGTAACTCAGTTGAGGATTCAATGAGAGTGACAACGCTTCCAAAACACAGGCCTAGGATGTTGAGTTCAGGACTCAGCGCAGCGGAGTAATACGGCCCAAATTTGCATCTTTGGAAGGTCTCTTCACTGCCTGCCTGGCGGCAAGCCCTGTTGCTACTAAACACGTGCATCCTGTGTGCTGGTGCAACAGGGTGTGAGTTGCATTTCTGGACATGCCATGATGTCTGGATCCGGGCGGAAGCATAAAGTGAGTGGTTCCTTCCCAACTCATCAGCAGCCACAAATGTAAAGATGCACCCAATCGGGACGGTTGACTTTCCAATCGGCGGGAAAGCTGACAAACCAACTGCAGGACACCAGGTGCCAGACGCGCACGCCTGCTGCAAGAAAAGTGCCTCTCCCCAGGACATTCAAAAGAAAGACTCCAAAGAGGCCGGCGCCCTCCGCCGCTTTCGCTCCAGGCCTGGTCTGGGGGCTCCAGGCTTTGGAAGCGTCCCAGCACTCCGGCCACCTGCAGCCCGACACGCAACTCCGCCAAATTTTCTTTCCGGCCCAACTTGAGGCCCAGACGGGCAAGGCCAGCCCGAGGTGGCACAAAGCTAACCGCGCGAGCCTCTGAGTCTACAAAGAACTTCTCCTAAGCACACAGCTTCGGTTATAAGCCGAGCTGCACAGCTGGATGGACGTCTGCATGTTGCAGGAGACGATCAGCCAATCCCTGCACTTGCTGGAGAGACAAGTATCCGTCAAGACATTGAACACCTTGAACCTATGTTTCAGTGCTGCATTGTAAAAAAATAGTATGCAAAAACCTCTGTAAGCTGTCAAAAACCACTGCTTTCCTTTTCAAGCTTTTGGCTTTTCCGGCGTTTGAAAGTCTCGTCCACGCGTGTGCAGCAGCGCCGAACTCGTGCTTCGGTTTCGAGAACTTGCCAAGAGCCCATCTAGTGTGATGCTCCTGCAAAGCAAGTGACATGGCATGGTAGACTCTTCTGGATGCTGACGTTCCTTCGATCGATCGGCTGTCCTCCCACATTTAGCCACCAGCAGCTTAAGCAATCATAGCCATCATTACCGGTCTTGTTGAGTCGGTGCTTGCTGTCGCCTTCTCCGCTCGCAGAGTCTCGACAATTGAAGCCGACAGCTAAACGTCCAGCAGTGTGCTGCATTGAACTCGAAGATCAGGATGCGCGATGCTCCGTCTCACGCTTTCCACACTGCGTTCTACAGCACATGGTGAAGGAATAGAAGGAATCCGTCGCCCGTCGCTTTTCTTTGCCACTTGTTGCTACGGCTGAAAGGACAAAGCCGGGTCTATCGACATTTGTCCAAGTTTGAGCAGTGCGGGCCATACAATCTATGGAGGGTCCTTAACCTGCGGCTGCATCTCTGAAAGCAGTTCACGCCACTAGAAAAGCTCGCGCAAAGCAAACGGAGGGTGCAGGAAGCAATAGACGGTCGACTGTGAGGACGTTTGACTGTGTCGGAAGACGTGAACAACAGCTGACAAGATCAAACCAAACCAAACGGCTTGAGAGCGGGGCGGTCTGCTGTCAAAGATACCAGCATTTAGAAGACGGAGAAGACACTGATAAAACCAGTGCAAGCTGGCGATCTGAGAGTCCTCCTATCATTCTGCCCAGCAGCACTGCTTGTCAGAGGAGACTTGTGATAGTCCCTCTGATCTTGTGCTTCGCGGACCTTCCTTTCGTGTAGAAATCTGCAGATGTGCACCTTGCCTCTAGGATCCCGCGGCAAGCGGCTGTTGGATCTCCGGGTCTGAGCTCATCGGACTGCTGGCTCCGGTTTCCAGCGAGTCCGACAAGTGCGACGACGGCATCCAGCCTTAGCGGTGTCACGTTGCGCTACATCGGCATATGGACGAAATGCAGGGTGCCGATGGTTTCCACACATCTTCCTGTTTGCACACTCGCAGCTGCCAGCGTCTGCATGTCGACTCGCTGAGCCAGCTTTTAGCGCGGCTGCTGCTCTCATCCAAAGGGCCCGGCTTGCATCGGAGCGGTCAGACTCCGTTCCAAAAGCCCGTCAAGAGAATCATCTTTCTCTCCGGGGCCCGGGCGCAGACTGAAGCGCCAAAAGTTGGGAGGTACTCGAATCAGCCTGTCCAATGAAGTTCAATGAGGCGACTGAGACTGAGACATTTACAACGGCCCCGAGTCGCCTCTTGTCGGGCCATGAGGGATTCAACAAAGGAGTCTACGAGGCTCAAGAGGT